CTCCATGGGACCTTCATGGAGCTCCATGGGACATTCGTGGAGCTCCATAGACGTTCGGGGTGCTCCATGGGATCTTCATGGAGCTCCATGGGACCTTCATGGAGCAACACAGACATTTGTGGAGCTCCATGGGACCTTCTGGACTTTTTGGAGCTCTCTGAATCTCTCCATGGGGTCTCCATGGGGCTCAGGATGCCATTGGGACGTGTCCCACGTGTCCGTGGGGTCACTGAGCGCCTTGTCCCCCCCTTTCCGCAGGGAAGGAGAAGAAGGGGCCGCTGCTGGAGGGGACCCCGTTGCGCCTCAAGCCCCGCAGCGTCCACGAGCTCTCCGTGGAGCAGCAGCTCTACTACAAGGAGATCACAGAGGCCTGCGTGGGCTCCTGCGAGGCCAAGCGGGCCGTGAGTGTCCCCCCCTGTCCCCTCCATGTCCCCTCAGGTCCTCCCAGGCCACCTCGAGGTGTCCCCGTGTCCCCAGTGGCCTCCCCWGTGACGTTCTGGGGTCTTGAGGGACATCTCAATGGCCTCAGGGTCTCCTCAAGGGTGTCCTGCTGGCTCCATTGCCCATCCAGGGATGGCCAGTGACGTTCTGGGGTCTTGAGGGACATCTCAACGGCCTCAGGTTCTCCTCAAGGGTGTCCTGCTGGCTCCATTGCCCACCCAGGGATGTCCCCATGTCACCAGTGACCCTCAGGGATGTCCCCACGTCCCCAGCGGTGTCCCCGTGGGCACCTCCCTGTCCCCAGCTTCTCCTTGATGATGTCCCACAGTCCTCACCCCCCCACCACGAGCGTCCCCCGTGTCCCCGTCGCCTTCCGTGGGTTGTCCCCGTGTCCCCTGGGACACCCCCGGTGACGCCCCCATGTCCTCCTAGGAGGCCCTGCAGAGCATCGCCACCGACCCCGGCCTCTACCAGATGCTCCCGCGTTTCAGCACCTTCATCTCCGAAGGGGTGAGGAGGGGACAACCCCCGGGCCGCCGCGGTGGCCCCTGTCACCGCCGGCGTCCCCCGTGGTCACCGCGCTGTCCCCAACCCGTCCCGTCACCCAGGTGCGCGTCAACGTGGTGCAGAACAACCTGGCGCTGCTCATCTACCTCATGCGCATGGTGAAGGCCCTCATGGACAACCCCACGCTCTACCTGGAGAAATACGTGAGTTGTCCCCGACGTTGTCCCCGGTTTGTCCCCGTGGCCGGCGCCGACGTCCCCGTGCGACCCCCAGCTCCACGAGCTCATCCCGGCCGTCATGACGTGCATCGTGAGCCGGCAGCTCTGCCTGCGGCCCGACGTGGACAACCACTGGGCCCTGCGCGACTTCGCCGCCCGGCTCGTGGCCCAGATCTGCAAGAACTTCAGCACCACCACCAACAACATCCAGTCGCGCATCACCAAGACCTTCACCAAGGTGGCAACCCGTTCGGTTTGGGGTTGGGGGCGTGCTTCGTGGTTGGGTTTGGGGATGGGATGGTTCTCCATGGTTGGGTTGGAGCCTCCTGGTTGGGTTTGGGGTTGGGATGGAGCCCCATGGTTGGGTTGGAGCCTCCTGGTTGGGTTTGGGGTTGGGATG